GACCTGCCCCAGGAGCTGCTGATACAGTTCTACAGAGGAATCATCGAGTCTGTTCTCTGCACCTCCATCACTGTCTGGTTTGGCTCAGCAACCAAACAGGACAAGTACAGACTTTGGCAGACAGTCAGGACTGCAGAAAAGGCCATTGGTGTGAGCCTGCCCTCCATGGAGGACCTGTACACCACACGGGTCAAAAGGAGGGCGGAGAGGATCACTGCAGACCCCTCACACCCAGGACACAATCTGTTTGAATTCCTCCCCTCTGAATGGTGTTACAGGTCACTGTGCACTAAGACAACCAGGCACAGGGACAGTTTCTTCCCCCAGGCTGTCGCTCTGATGAACACTTAACCCACGACAGTATGATTGGACAATAACCCTCAGTGCAATACCTGTGTATATATACATTGTACAGATTATACAGACTCGTACAGATCTCTAATTCTAAGTACTCTGTTTATATCCCTATTTATCTCATTTCAATGAACCTTCCTTGTTGTCTGCATTGTTTACTGTCTGTTTATACTGCTTTTTCTGCATTGTTTGCACTGTTTGTTGATGTTAATACAATTTTGTTATATTACACAGCATGCTGGTTTACTGTTTTGCACATTGAGAGCCGATGTACCTGAGTTAAATTCCTCGTGTGTCTGTCATGACACACGAGGAATTTGGATGAGAGGTGAAATGTCTTCGACCTAGAAATCTAGTCCAGTTGATTTTTTCAGCTTACTATGACCTGGATGACTGAGAATCTGCACAGACACCATAGAACAGGGAAAGTTGGTTAGAATCAGCAGGTGAGATAAACAGGCCTGTGCAGCTTTTCTCCTGACTTCTCTACAACTTCGATAAGTATCCTAGTGTAAGTAAAAAGTATGAAAATGCCTGGGAAAATCTTAAGACTTACCAAAACAAACAAGCCATATATATTTAATACTTGTGACCTCACACAGTGAACTTTGAAAACTGTGTGTTCCCACAAATGATTCCTTTAAAAGTACAGTTACAGAGTTGAATGTCAGCACTCAGGCTGACTGACACTGCTGTCAGACAAGCAGGCAGAAGCCAAGCTAAAACCAGGAAAATATTGATGTTTGTTTTTCTCATGATAGTTGGAAATAGCAGAGGTTTACATATACAGTAGATGCATACCTGTCATAGGCCATGGGTGCCAACAGTAACATTTCTGCATCACATTGTCTTATTCATTCACTGGTACTTGACCTTGAAATGCACATGTAATCTAGTAAGTACAGATGCACAGAGATTGGACAGTGGTTGTTTTGAGTCCGTGTAATGTTGTTTTGTCAATGACCCTTGTGTTGCCTCTAAGGCATTTGTTTAGCTAATTATTTGTTGAAGTTGTTATCTATTTTGGTGAAGGGCCAGGTTAATAATTACATATGTAAAAAGAAATGATAACGCTAAATCTATTTAACGATTGGCACCGGGTGATGACGACACTTCCGGTTTTAGCGATTTCACATTAGTAAGAAAGATGGCGGACGTAAGGCTCTTGTTTGCGGCATGTGTATTCATCTTTATCTGTTAGGAAACGTGATAGAAGCAATGCCGTAAGTTATGATATGTGTCAGTTGACATAGTATAGTTAACATTTGCTATAGTTAGATGTGACGTTGAGGAAGTTTATTTACAGTTGTGCATAAGCTAGCTGACACTATGCATTTGAATGTGTGTTGAAGTGTACCACCATTTATAGTATAGATATTGGTTAAATAAGCATAACTGACAGTGT